CGTAGTGATAATTTTAGTTGTAAATGTCACCCTCCCACATTCAATTCACATGGAGGCAGAGCAGCTGGGAGGAACTGTGCTACTGAATAGAACCAGGTTTGTCGCACACGTATGTAAATCTTCATTATATACATGTATATTATGGCTCTTATAGTTGTATCAGATCAAAACGATGCATTCAAATCCTTAAATCTGTAAGGATTATTATGGGTGGATTGATTATCTGTCGGTATTGTTACTTTGAATGCAACTGTTGAGTGTATTTGCAGTGGTAGAAATTGTCTTAGGAATTGGAGTTCGTGGACCCAAATACAGAAAACTGAAGGCAATAGGCACATTTAAAATAAACGGTTTGGTTCGAGGCAGGGCTAAAAAGAACCTCCAACACACACAGAGAGATCAAAACTCGACTGAAGAGGCACGCAGGGCTTACATACAGACTGATCAGATGCGAAGATGAAGAGCAGGTACACATGAGGTCAGCTGGCAGCAGGGATAATGGAGGACAGGTGAAACTAATGAGGCCAATGAAAAAAGGCGGGAAAACTCTGGGAACAGCAAAGGAGCTGATTGGCTGGGAAGACTAACAAGGCTGATTCAGAGCAGGGGTGTTGAGGAGCAAAGGCAGCACCGAAACACACAGACAGGAAGTAAAACCAGACATGCCAGAAAGATTTCAAAATAAAACAGGAAACAGGTTAACCAAAATGCAGGACAAAATTAGTAAAATAAACATAAACTTGTCTTAAAGGTGGGGTAGGTAATTTTGGAGAAACCAGCTTGAGTCCGCTAGAATTCGAAAATACACAGCCAGAAAAAATCTGCCACTTCCTTACAGAGCCCCTCCTCCAACACACACGAACGTGCACATGACCAATGAGGGCACGAGATAAGTTTGTGCACAGATGGAAGGCTGACAGGCAGGTAGGCCATCCAGTTATTTTAGCCGGGCCGGCTAAAATGATTGGTCGTGCTTTTTACAGTATTACGGCTTCCACAGATGACATTTTTTTATGGATTTTTTGTCAAAGCACTTAAGATATTCATTGCTATCGGGATGTTAAGAGCATTCCATGGAATATAACAAAAAGTGTATCTCGAGCCGGTTTCTCAAACTTACAGTACCTACCCCACCTTTAAGTATAAGTGCTGACTCATAAAGGAACGTGCACATGCTGCAGATGGAATGATAGGATCTGCGTTCGTGATGTTTTTCAGACTTTATCGATTTATCAAATCTCACCCACCAACATTTCCAACTTTGCTTACAGCTCTTGTTGCTAAGAGCTAATACTTGGCTGCAAGAAATCCTCAGAGGGAGGAAGAGCAGGATTATTACTGTTACACTGACAAATACAGTGCCATCTATTGATTTACAGCAAGCATTTCTGTATATTACATTTGATATCTCATAACTGTGTGTTTACCTAATTTGGTATTTTCCTGCAAGACAAAAATAAAGGTGGTATACTACGACAAAAGTAATCTCTTTAATTCAGTATTTAACTTTGAGTAATGCTTTGAATTACAATAGAGTTGAGTATACGCTCATACCAGAGTACAACGTGCAGAATGAAACACATATCTGCTGCGTTATATATCAATAAAATGTATTTATTGCACCTGAATGCTAATGTTAACCTTTTGTCCGAGCCTCCCACCTGTGTTCAGGCCTCTCTCCGTGTGTCTTACAGGGGAGCGTGTGGAGCGACTGCCTGTACGGATGCTGCTGCTATCCGCTGTCTTGGCTCCAGATCTCCAGAGAGCTGAAGAGAAGAGCAGCATCCCACGCCGCCTCCTCTTCCTCCTCCTCCTCCTCCCCCTCCTCCTCCTCAGCCAGATACAGTGCTCTGTGCTCCCTGCAGGGGGCGCACTTGGTCTAGCCGTCCTCTCCGCTGCAGCCTGGCCTCCAGGGTACAGGAGTAGATTTAATCACACTTCCTCTGATCTGCAGCCACTCCCTGTTACCTCGCAGAATTCAGCAGGGACACAATCTGTCCCGCAGAGAGGAACACTCTTAATTTCCCAAGATAATACAAAAAAAAGCGTGATGAAAGTAATTGTTGCATGTTATTTTGGGAAGCAGATTTAGCATGTATTTTATTATACTTGTTATGCTGTTATATGATGACATCATTTTATATAATGTAGGTACATTTACTCAAGAACTGCCCTTAAGTGTGCTTTTGAGTGGATTTTCATTTTCATGTCACTCTATACTTGTACATTTATTTTTAGATTAACATTTTACCACACAGGCAGAGGTGGGAAGTAACTAAGTACATTTACTCAAGTACTGTACAACTTTGAGGTACTTGTACTTTGAGTATGTCCATGTTATGCTACTTTGTTCTTTTACTCCACTACATGTATGTAATACCTTTAGTTACTTTACAGATGTGGATGAATGATGTGAAATATAATCAACTCTTACATCAGACTTTAGTTCCACCTGGAGTAAATCTACCCTGCAGTATACAAAGTCATTAAAACTAGCAGCACCTTTACCAGCTTTGAGAACACTTTAATGATCAATCATTATAAAACATATCATATATATTATTCTGAAATGGACCAATAAGTCTTTCTACCTTTGGTACTTTAAGTTTATATTGATGCTAATACTTTTCTACTTTTACTTGAGTAACATTTTGAATGCAGGACTTTTACTTGTAACGGAGTATTCACTCTGGTACTTCTACTTTTACTCAAGTACAAAATCTGAGTACTTCTCCCACCTCTGCACACAAGTTTCCCTAAAATGTGTTTTCATTTGTAATAACTGGTCTCAAATTGGTTTGAAAAATATTAAAGTTTTAGTATTTCTCTTTTTTGCTTCCATTAATCGTCTCATGGCCTCTTCAATTTATATTGTGACCCGTTGCAGAGGGCCAAACCACTGTTTGGAGACCACTGGATAGAGCTATGTCACTTAATCTAAAGTGCATACCAGCTACATTTAATTGAACAAAATTAATTTATAGAAATATATCAGTTACAGAGGTCCATTCTCCGAAGAATGAGTACCTCAACTGTAATACAGTATGTAGGAGTTTTTAACAGTGTTGTATTTGCACTTTTGTTTAAGTAAAATATCTAAATACTTCTTCCAACATGGACTAGAGTTAAGGATAAGATATGAATCCCAAAATGTATTAAAACTAAAACCACGAAAAGGCACATTTATTCACATGTTATAGCAAATCACTATAGGAAATAGAATATTGCAACTTTCCCTGAGCTGATATTGAACATTTTATACTCCTCAAAAATAGAATTGTGTGACTTGACTGGTAAGGCAGCATGCATTACATTAATATTCATCTTTCAAGTTATCTAGTTTGTGTCTTATTTATTTTAAAGCTCTTCTGCAGGCAAAAGACAGGGAAATAATGAGAGAGAACATGAGTCAGAAAAGTAATTCACTTGATTGTTGGTAGTCACATTATTTCTTAAGGGCCCATGTCATGCTTTTCCGGTTATTACCCGTCCCCTTGTGTGTTATGAAGGTTTTTATGCATGTAAATGGTGTGCAGAGTCAAAAACCCTCAAAGTACACCCTGTAGCGCAGGGATGTCAAACTCAATTTATTCGCGGGCCACATCAGCATTATGGCTGCACTCAAAGGGCCGGTTGTAACTTATATATATATTACATTATTGCCTCTGCATTGGATTATTATTGGATAGGGTAATAACGTCATAATTAACTACGTCTGAAAGCAGAAGTCTGGGGCAAATAATTGCAAGTCTCTTCAGTGAGAATGTCACAAAATGATTTCAAAAGAAATGCTGGAAAAAAAGTCAAAATCAAAAAACAGAAGTGACATTTAAAAAAAAACTGACATTCAAAAAAAAAGAGTCAAATTCTGAGAAAAGGGCACATTCTAAGAAAAAGGCATATTTACTGTAGAAGAAAAAAAGTCTAATTCTGAGAAAAAAAGAAAGAAAGACGCGTTACACCCAACTCTGATAATAAACATATTATATTCTTTGCAAGCTCTTGTGGGGCCACAGAAAATGAAGTCACGGGCCGGATTTGGCCCCCGGGCCTTGAGTTTGACACCCCTGCTGTAGCGAGTAAAACTCTAACACAGAAAAGACCTGTCTATGCTGCCCCAAAACGCCTCGTTGGAGATTTCTCATTTTTCATTGTTTTCTTCCTGGGATCTGTGACGTGTGAACACCCAAATCAACAACAAATGACCGGATCCGGACCAATCCGCAGAGCACCTCACACACCAGGATCCCTTTGCTAACTAACAGGGAGTCCCCATTGACTTGCATAGAGCTCCCTGAACGCTGGTAATAGACGAGTTGGGATGGCGGAGAAATTCTCTCCGCAGACCCATTCTCACAGCGTTATAAACCTTACTCAATATCAAGCCACCCTTATTGTTTTTACTGTGGCTGTGAGTGTTTGTGTGTGCTCAGGATGAGTTTCGCTGTGTCTCGCTGTATCGCCGACCCGGAAACCTGTCCGCTCCTCGAAGCAGCGAGCCTCGCAACGTCCCGACCAATCAGAGCACACTGGGCTCACAGGGAGGGGGGGGGCAGGAGCTCCAACAAGCCGTTTAGGACAGAGAGTGAATACCTGGTGAATACACATACTATACAGATGCTGTATGAGAAACCAATGTGATTTTGGAAAATTGCACAATTTAAATCTATTCTAGTAGACCTCAACAATGGAAATATGATCAGTAAATGGCCATGACATGGGACCTTTAACAAAGAGGGCATAACACATAAACGTACGCTAACTATTCAATAAGTTAGTACTGTTCCGACAAAGGCATTGAGCCAAATCAGGATAAGTACGAGACATTCCCTTCTGTCCTAATCACATACCTGGTCTAAGAACAGAGATGCACACTTTAAATGAGGTAATCTGCATTTTGTGGCACAATGACGTCTGAGGTTTTAAAAGATGCGTGACCGACAGATATCCAGATGTTTGACTTTCAAAGGTGTCGACAAACATTTAGGACTGGACGGACTGGTCGGTGACATGCTGTGCTGCCCTGTCACGTTCACCGTTCTGAGGCCGGTATATAAGATGCCACGCTTAACCGTTAAATCCATCACTTCACTGCCGCCTCTTTATCCCGGGACAATAAGGTAAGACAATCCACTTTAAAGTGATTGTAGTGATGTAGGTATAGAAATAATGCAAATATGCAGCTCAAAACCTATCCCCATCGTTTTAAATGTATATTAAGTCCTATTGTATCCACTGAGAAAAACTGAAACGTTGACTTCAATTAATCTATTATGTCGACAGATTTCATATATCTGAATTAGGTTAGTTAAAAGCAATAATATTACGTTTAAATAAAATATATTTGGTTCAACTAACCTAATACAGTTATGTGAAATGTGTTGACGTAATACATTTAATTTATGTCAATGTTTGAGTTTTTCAGTGTGTGTATTAATTGGGAAACTAAATGACGTGTGAAGTTTGTATTTCATTTATTTGTATTTTATTTAAATGTTATTTTAGAATTGATTGTCATTCAGGTGGAGGGTTGTGTGACTCCCCAAAGATGTTCAGGACATTTTGCAACTTGTTGATTTGGGAAATCTTCCAAAAAAATAAGTAGTTGAACTCTAACCTACAGACATTTTCATGTGCTTATCTTGTTTTGGAATGTTAAAGATATGAAGTGTGTGCGTCATAACAGCAATGTGTCCCTCTTATGACCCGCATGTTCAGTATACTGCATTATACTTGACTGTATGCACTTCCCTTTCCTTGACCACTTTTTCTTTCCTAGAAACTTCAACAGCTTTACATTTTGTGTCATTCCCAGTAATGTAATACTGCACCTGCTTATTGGAATCAAGTTTTGGAAATAAAACTTTGAAATGTACAATTTCACAATCTACCTCACTGTTCTCTCAGATTTAAAAAAAATAAAAAATAAAAATTACGGAATGAACTTCACCAAATATATGATGTCTTAATATGTATTTAATTCCCCATAGGGTGGAAAAAGGTTCTCTAAATAAATAAATCCACAAAACATTAAAGTAGTCAGAACAGAGTTTAACATCTCTAATGAGGACATGAAGTAGTAAGAGGTAAAGGACAGAACATGACAACATGTTTACAGGCACTACATGGATTTCACCACATTGTTATCAATTTCTTACTGGAAGCTGAAATCATGTCTGAAAAGACGGTTGTGACCCAGCCCAGGGCAGGCCCTACATCATGAACAGTAGATCCGGCCAGTGGACCTCTGACATCTGTGACTGCTTGGACGACCTGCCTCAATGTGAGTGCAGTTTGTCAGATAAAATGGGTTAACCTTTTCTTAAACTGCTTTGAAAAACATTCAGACTTGTTCGTGCAACAGTATAAAACATAAAGAAACTTAAATGTTCCAAAAACGTGTTTTTATTTGACCTCAGTGACTAAGAGAAAATCGGAATTTGCAAGTTACACCTTTGAGCATTATGTGATTTCTTTTTTTTAGGTTGTCTGGCCTTTTGGTGTTTACCCTGCTTCGAATGTAAGACAGCACATGAGGCCGGGGAGTGTGTATGTCTACCTCTGCTGGATGGTTTTGGATTGATCCCTCCTATAGGCACCTCCCTCAGAGTGTCAATACGTCAACGATATGTCATTGAGGTACACACGCTATGCTAATCTAGTTTTAATATTCTAACCTTAATGGCATCTGCAATTATAAGCATACTGCAGTGATGTGAGTCACTGCTTATCTGATACCGATCAGTCTTTAACATACTTTGCTATTTGAATGTTTAATTGTGTCAATATAGCTGTGTTATGCAAATCCCATTACAAGTCTAGTCTTGCAAGCTGTTCAGCAAAAATACAGACACTTATAGTACATGCTAATGCACCTGGTTCCCAAAAAAGGCATAGCTGTCAAACTATTAAGCAGTGCGGTGTTTTGATGCCAATAAGCACAAGTGTAATTAAGTCAACAAACCAGCATTTAAAGGGTTAAAATGCCATAAAAATGCATGGATATTCGGAAGTGCAGGGCGAAGTTGGTTTAAGATTGAATGAGAAATTGGAAAATAACAATATATCATTTTATGGCAGATTTGACGTTTTAATACTTTCTTTTTTAAGGGATGCATAAAGGTTAGAGTTAGTATCCGGAAAGATATTTACTGGTAGCTGTAGTGTCCTGTTAATAAATATCGGACCCTTGAATCAATTGTCCCCCCTTCCCCCCTTATCTTCTCGCCCCTAACTGTGTCTGTGTTCACAGGGTACCATCTGCAATGACTGCGTGTACGCCTGCTGCTGCGGGCCCTGCAGCTGGTGTCAAATTGCACAAGAGATCAAAACTCTAACATGCTAACATGCTAAACTGAAAAGGAAAACATGGAAAACATTAGCTGGTTAAAGTCAGCCTTGTGACAGCATTGGCACTGAGCATGTTGATGTTAGCATTTAGTTCAAAGTTCACTTATATTGTAGTTATATTGTAGAATATATTGTAATTTGCAGTTTAAGTTTTCATAGTTATAGCTACTGTAAATGCATTCATAATTCTTTATTACACATGCTTCGTATTTGAATTATGTCAAAGTTTTGCATGATATGTGAGTTTTCTTGAAGCGTGCAATACAACTCTGTTTAAAGTTCAGTTGTGAGTCTGTGTGCTCTATCCAATGCAAACCATGCCTTGGAGTGGTGCCAACATCAGGTAAGTGCATATCAAAATAATATTTAAATAAAACCAATATTGTAACAGAGACCATTGCAAAACAATAGGCCTGTATATGAAGAGGATTATAGATGGAATGCAACCGTAATGATATGTATGCATGAGTTTGCAAGTTGTTTTGATTTATGGTGATGTTAAGCGTGTGAGTAAATGGCATGTCATGAGGATTGAAATGAGCCGTATCATGACGCAGAACAATTGAAGGAAGGAAAGCTTTTGAACCAGCAATCGTTCCAGGAGCTTTGTTCAGATATGTGGGCTTGGGGTCAACCTTGAAAGGTGCAATGAATGTAAAAGGACTCCCGTGAGAAAACAACTTTAGTAATGAGTGTTTTTTATTCTCAGGCCTTCTTATTTTGTAAACACGTGTTGATAGCAACCACTCAATTTCCATGTGAGCTACCAGAGCATATGAGTTCTACAGTTGCGGCCAAAAGCCATTTTATTTTAGGTCACAGTGACCTTGATTGTTGATCTTTTACAACCATTTCAAAACGGTAAACCTTTAGGCACATTATCAAATCTGATTTAATAACTGTCAATCAAGTTTGAGGGTTGTGGGTTGCCCTTTTTCAGTGTGCAATAATAATTCGAACAATTTGAAGTGAAGTGAAGTCTTGTTTTTTGTACGATACGGCCCTCGCTATATGCAATCTTCCCAACTATAAAGGACCTGTTACTGCTTCTCAGATAAGACCAGTTGTAATTATAAACCCATTTGAACCTTTGATATATGCTGTGGGCCAGATGGTGTTTGTCCCGGTTTGCACTATACCTCTATCGCAACAAATTCCAGGTGATATTGACCTGCGGAAAATTTCATTATTGCGGCAAGACGCACATTATTGCTGACTATTTTCCGCAATACGTCTGCTTGTCTTCACCTCTGCTGTTACCTCGAGCAGATTGTTCCCTGGCTCAGGTTTATATAAGTCCACAGAGGCAGAGGAGTGGAAGGCTGCAACTCGCTGATATGACTGTTGAATAGTGACTCGTGCTGTTATTGTAATCACCAGTGCTTACTTTATTTTCCCTCCGCTGCCTGACCTTGCTGCTTCCTCTTTCCCTCGTTCCCTGCCACTCCCGTCTCACACACACTTTTTTCCCTTTTTTCTCCCAAAGTTGCCTCAACAATCAGATTAAAAACGGTGCATTTAACTAACATGTCAGTCTGTTTACCCTTTTAACAGGCTGTCTACATTTTTTATGTGAAGATTAAAACAGGAACCTGAAACATTAGACAAATGTTGGATAACTCAAATTACAAAGTGAAGTTATATGCAATATCCTTCTTGTTTATATAATGCTTTTATGTCATCCACAATGCACAGACCTTTGAGATGAACCCTTAACCCACATTCTGGACTTAGACCTGGTCTTGTATATTCATTATAACACAGGGTAGTGTGTGTTAAAGTGAAGCTGTGTGCAGGTGCAGTTATCACATAGTATCCTGGCTCACTGAGGACCTGGAGCTCATGCCACACTCTTGGATTTTGAGACAACAAAAACCAGGTGAGGCATTAGATTAACTTTACATTTCAACAACTGAACATTTAACTAAACATCTGTTATGCTGTTGGACTGTGGACTATGTTTTTGATACAGGACAATATACTGTTCCAATAGTATGAACAGTGACAAAAACTGTGTAATATGCGTTCTGTAAATCTCACCACAAGTGGGTTCGAAGACTAAAGGCTCACTTTGATCCAAGTTGTGTTCATGCCTAATCTATGCAATATCATAATGCCTATATGTGCTAGTGTTTCAGTTTACTGTGCGTCGTCGGAAAATGCAGAAAATGATATATGTCATTATGACAAGTCCACGTTCAGCTGTAATTAAGACCCAATGCCTGTTTTTTTAATAATAATCAAGGTAGCTTAACACTTGACCGTTTACCAACCAGCTGCTGAGGAGTTAGTGTTAGGGCTACTAAGCTATAGTATTTCAAAGTAGAGGCAAATTGGTATTTACATCTCACGTATCAGTCTGTATAAGGTCCACATTGGTACATAAAGACCCTTGTGAACCTGTATAAGAAAAAACTAAAGATAGCCTACAGCTAGCAAAAGCACTAGACCACATGGTGAGTGGCAGTAAGGAATAAGGGACATACATTGATGGATCCAAAAAGATACAATTTGATCCTTCAGTGATATGTTTGCTGAACTTCTTTGCATTTTCATTGTCAGTTTTATGGTAACTCATTGCAGAGGACATTGAACTCAGTAATGAAGATAACCTTTTGACCCCCCCTTTCTCTTGTGGTGCTGGATATCCCCTGCTCCCCACAATGACTTGGCAAGCATTTAGCTTGCGTTCCAGTAAATCAGAACTTCACATTTAAGCTACATATTTCTGCTACCTTGAACCACTGTTTAATTGTACCACAATTTACAGCACATATAAGACATGCCGTTTTCTTTTGTTTGTCATATTTATGTTTAGATGGACGTGTGCTTCTACTGAGTTTAACAATTATCTTTATTTCTGTCTGTTGTTTCTCCAAGGAAATGTCCAGCATGATTGCTATAATCCTGTCAGGAATCTTCTTCCTGTTGCTCAGTCCCACTTGTAGTGGCAGCAAGATCCTAGTAGTGCCCGTTGATGGCAGCCACTGGATCAACATGGAGGTGATACTCCAAGAACTGCACTCCAGAGGCCACGAAATCACTGTGTTGCGCTCTGCTAAGAGCTGGTTCATCCCTAGCAACTCCCCAATTTTTACTTCTATTAATGTGACCATGCTGCAAGATGAATCAGATTTGGACTACTACAATAAAATGCTACTAAATGTTATGGAACGTCGCAGGTTGCCAACCTTTTTACGCAGCTTCTACCAACAACACTTGATCACATCCATGTTGTCACAAGGCCATGAGATCCTTTCCAGAGCCTCTGCTACAATGTTAGATGACCCTGTTTTTATGAAGAAAATGCAAGATGCCAAGTTTGACTTAATGTTAACAGATCCCGCTCTGACTATAGGGGTTATTCTGGGTAGTTACCTCAAGCTGCCAATGGTTTTCAATGTGCGCTGGATTAATAATGGGGAGGGCCATTTAACCATAGCTCCCTCTCCTGTCTCCTATGTCCCTGTGTCAGGAAGTGAACTTGATGATCAGATGGACTTCCTGGACAGAACCAAGAACATGTTGCATTATATCTATAGTTCAGTAGAACAGCACTTTTTCATCAACCCTTACTACTCAGATCTGTTCCAGAGGCATTTCCCTCCCGGAACCGACTTACTGTCTTTAGAGCTTGCAGCCGATATGTGGCTCATGAGGACTGATTTTGTCTTTGAGTTCCCACGGCCTACCATGCCCAACGTAGTCTACATTGGAGGGTTCCAGTGCAAAAAGCCCCGTCCCCTCTCTGATGAGCTGGAGGGCTTCATGCAGAGCTCTGGGGAGCACGGGGTGGTGGTCATGTCTCTGGGGACGCTGGTGTCAGCACTGCATCGCGAGGCCACAGAGGCCATCGCTGCTGCTTTTGCTCAACTACCTCAGAAGGTGGTGTGGAGGTTTATTGGTGAAAAGCCGTCATCCTTGGGGAACAACACCCTGCTGGTGAATTGGCTGCCTCAGAGAGACCTCCTGGGTCACCCCAAAACTCGTGCCTTTGTAGCCCACGGCGGCACCAACGGCATGTATGAAGCCATTTACCACGGCGTTCCCGTTCTGGGCCTGCCCCTCCTCTTTGACCAGTTTGACAACGTACTCCGGCTGAAGGTACGTGGGGCAGCTAGGTTGTTGGAGGCCAATTCACTCACCAAAGAAGACTTCCTAGAGGCTATAACAGACATTCTAGAGACTCCCTCATACCGTGAGAACATACAGCGTCTCTCACGGCTACACCACGATCAGCCAATGTCACCCATGGACACCGCCATTTTTTGGATTGAGTACGTGATCAGGAATAAAGGAGCCGCCCATTTGCAGTCAGTAGGTTTTAGTCTGCCTTGGTATACCTACTTCAGCCTGGATGTGGCTCTTTTATTAATGGCTCTCATTGCAGCCTTTGTCTGGGCTTCAGTCTCTGTGTGTAAGATGCTCTGCTGTCGAAGGTCCAGGAGGAAGACAAAGGCAGAGTAACTGATTGTAACAGGAAATACATATATATATAATCTGATATAAACTGAGTTTTATATTACATCAAACATATTAATCATATTTATCAAGATTTCACAGACAGATTAGGTGACAGCTTCCATCTGACTACTGTGAGTTTAGCATCAGTTACACCTACTTCCTGTGTGACACAAACTCTTTGCACAAAAAGGAACTTGCTCACATGGACTGCTGAGACATATCTTCAAGAAAAGACACTGGAACACCATATTATGCTTTATTAGAGCAATATCTGTACAGGGCTCCTACCTTGCTGAAGAAATGCATGTTATTACAAACACTCTACAATGTATTTCATGTGCTCATATACCAAATTAGCATCAATATAATATGTGCATTTTGTCATCGTTCTATAAATGTAAAAATGTATGAATGCTATACTGTACATTTAAACATATTGTAATGGCAAACACACTTGAGTCTTATCATGAGATCACTTCCACACACACACCACACACACAAATGTGAGATTGGGGTCTACACAATTGTTTTTGAAACAGCTACTTTTGGAAAAGGAACTAAATACCAGGTCAAGCAATGACCCGAGCACTGAGGAGAAAGAATACTCACTGGTATTCTTTAACTATAGCATACCATATACTTGTCACTAAACTATAGCAGAGATGAAGATGTTTCACCGTAATATAGTCAAAATAATACAAGCCTGTTTGGAAACATTGTTGTTGGGTGATTTGGCTAAATAGGGTTGTTTTTCCGAGAAAAGGTTAGAAAAATCGAAGAGGTGATAACTTTCCATGTATAAAGGGTTGCATAATAACATATAGGTAGAAGGATGAAGCAATAAGGTTGTCAGTTTTCACTGTGGCGTCCTGTTTGATATTCGTTATGATTGGTTATGATTGGTCGTACTTTTTACAGTACTACGGCTTCCACAGATGACATTTTTTTATGGATCTTTTGTCAAAGCACTTAAGATATTCATTGCTATCGGGATGTTAAGAGCATTCCATGGAATATAACAAAAGTGTATCTCGAGCCGGTTTCTCAAACTTACCTACCCCACCTTTAATCAGAACAACAACAGTCCAATGGATTTGATTCTAAGAGTACTGTTTAGTTACAATTTTGTATTATTCAATTAATCAGAGATTGGTGACATTTTAAAGGTAACAAAGTGAGTGATTACACCCTCCTCCCTTTAGAACCACAGGGTAAAAATACTGCCTAGCTCCCATTGTCTCAACATAGCCATTCTTACCCAAAACAATTTCAATTGTGTAGAATTGTTTTTGTTCTAGTTGTGCATGAGCAAAGTTCACCCTGGGTCAATTTTAACCCACTCACTTTCCATAAATTCACCACTCATTCACTTTTACAAGAATAAATGTGTTTGTTCTAGCAGGCTGTTTTTGTGTGCTCTATTTCTGTGGTCTTAATCTCGTCCGTCAATCAACTCTCCTGCAAGATGCACAAGATAAACATGAAAAACTGAACTCTCTATTCAGGAAAATAAATGAAGACAGCATAGCAGAAGAGTTAATGTGTTTGATGGCACATAGTCAGCGAACGACAATCTAAAGGGCATTAGTGGACACCGTACATCAGTTCCTTTCCTCACAGCTTATGTCCACCGTAATCATCCTGTCTGGAATAAAATAACTGAGACATGGAGAAAGAGAGAGTATATGTTTTTGTTCTCGGGCAGAAAGGCGTGCTCCTGCCTCAGGATGTTGCTTTTAAAGCTGAAGAAGTAGGTTTCCTGTGGAGGAAACGATCACAGAATAGACTTGGTCCAGACACCGTGTTCCCAGCATTTCTTGATCAAGGTCACCCAGCTGCAGATCAGGCAGCAAGCTTTTATGGAACTAAAGAGGTGAGTGTAAAGTCTTTGTTGGAATTGCACGGTTTAGCTGCTCATGCTGCTGCTGATTTGAGAATGCTCTCTTCTATCTGCAGGTGTTTTATCCCCTGATGGATCCTGGACGCTTTGGAGAATGATTTACTGATACCACGTAAGCTGACCTTTTCCACAGGAGAATGCGTTCATGAAAAGTATGCAATTGTCACATACCACATGCAACTGAGACTTTAGCTAGAACAAATGAATGGGTATTTCTACACCAACTCATCATCCATGTTTGAGTAAGGTCAACTCCAGTTTCCTATGTCAGGTCCTTGACCAACAAAGACATGTCCAACGACAGCTGCGACCTCCCGTTAAACACGGACACATTTGGCCTGACCTGTATCTACGGCCTGATCTTCTCTTTGGGTCTCCCGAGCAACTTGCTATCTCTATGGGGACTGTACCACCTGGGTCGTTCAGGCGGAGGAGGCTGCCAACTGGTCTACATCCTCAACCTGTTGCTGTCAGACCTCCTGCAGCTGCTCACCCTGCCACTCTGGATCCTTTATCTCCAAGGTGGGCACCAATGGCCCTATGGCCAGCTAACCTGCGAGCTGGTGGGATACGCGTTTTACGTAAACGTCTACGCCAGCGTCATGTTCCTGTGCCTGATAGCGCTGGACCGCTGCCTGGCCATCGTGTACCCGTTGAGCAGCCGCAGGATACGGACTGTTAGGGTGGCAGCGGTGTCCGGTGTGGTGGTTTGGACCCTGACCTTTCTGTACTGTCTGAGCGGGCTGCTCCCGTCAGTGTTTGACTCTGACAAACTGCTGTGTCTGGAGAAGTATCCCGTCAGCCCCAGATACGCCCACTTCAAGATCACCACCATGGCCCTGGGCTTCATGCTGCCATGTGCTATACTTGGGTGAGTAAACCCTATGTTTTGTAATGTTGTGTTTCAAAACCTGTTCACGTAAATGTTTTGTAGTCAAAAGAGTTTACCGTTTCCAAAGCACAATAACTTCTTGGTGTCTGCACAGTTCAAGTGGTCAAATCTGTGCTTCATCAAAAGGGAAGCTAGCTATTTGTCATCTTCAAATTGTATTAATACAATAAAAAGTAGTTTCAACTGAAATGAAAACTGATACAATTAACCCAAACCCTAACTCGTTTTAGGCAATTGGTACGCTACATGTAGTCTACAAAGTATTTTTAAACATCATCCGAGGCGTGTCCCATGTCTCACCTGCACCACCTCTCGGCCTGGGTTTTAAACACTGTAGGGACACTTGGTTGACTTTACTTTAAAATATTTTCCCTCCCCGTGTGCCTACTAACCCGTGTGTATTTTACATTTTACATATTTGTTTTATATGTTACATATTTTATATTTTTTACCTTATATATTATATTTCATAGTTCTATATATTATGTTTTATATATTTTATACTTTATGCTATCTTGGAACATTTGGGTTGATATGATTTTTATTACCAGCACTTGTTTTTAAAGCACTTATTTCACTAAGCACTTTTATGTATTTATTTATCATGAATCTTTTCACACAAATTTTATCTGCATGCCGATTTTAAACAAAGTCAACCTCTGTACTTTTAGCCAGATGTTTTTAACTTACTTACCAGGTCTTTTACCAGATGTTGTGGGACACAACCTCGGACACACCACCGGGGGACACCCCCTCGGGGGGGCAGGAGCACAGGTTTTAACCCCGCCACACACGCTCTGTGCTTCAGCCGCTGGTCTCTTCTATCACTTTTATTGCATTTTCTTTTTTTAACACAGACCAAACAGGGCTTTTATGAAGTTGTATTGGTTTTATTACAGGAGTTTTTAAATAGGTTTTTAAACAAAAATATTTATGGGTTCCCCAAAACCCTAACCCTAACTCGTTTTAGGCAATTGGTACAATGTCCATGGGGAACATAAAATCATTTTGTGAATTCTAAGTCTTTTAATATGCAACTCTGCTTCCCTTTAGCTACACATCAGCCCACATTGGGGTGACACTCCGACGATCTCCTTCCCTGTCTGACCATGAGCGGCACAAAATCGTGGGCATCCTAGTCGTGATCACCATCAACTTCATTGTTGTGTTTGGACCCTATCACCTCGTGGGCGGATACAGATTTGTATCCTTTCTGCTGACAGATGAGCCATGTGGATTTGAGCGTTCCATATTCCTCGTCTATCGTCTGTGCTACGGTCTGACCAGCCTCAACACCCTGCTGGATCCCCTCTTCTACATCTTCCTGTGCCCTGATGCCCGGCTAGAGCTGCAGAGATCCCTGCCCTGTTTGGGAAGGGGGCAAAACTCCCGCAAAAAGATTATCCTCAGTACCAGAGCTCAACCAGACAACAAGATAGAGACTGCAACTGGACATATTAATCTTCTAGGAGTATAGCTTGGATTCAACTATAGAGCTGACTCAAAGCAAGTGTGCCACCCAGTGGAAGAGCATGATCACAGTGATGTTACTTTTTAATTTAGTCTTATTTTATTCAGTTCAGTTAAGAGTTTCAAATCCAGTCTTTTGTGATTTTCCATACCCATTGTCACCTTACATTAAACATATAAGGCCATAATAAATACAGTTTCTGATTAATCTATGAACTACATTTCCTTTCTAGCCAGTGTATGGAAATAGACCAATGCAGTCATTTCACATATTTGTTAATGTCATTTAAACAACGAATAAATATTCATGCTTCGTGACATGTTTACGCTCAGGCCTTTCAAAAAAAGAATTGGTGTGAATCACTACGGAAACACGAGCATGGCTGTGGGTATATCATTACAACATCTGTCTTTTCTCTTTTTTATTTAAGTTTATATGTCAAAGCATTAAAACAAAGGAATTGCATGTGCAGAATGCAATAATGGACAATTAAGATATATTTTCCTTATTATAAACACAATTTGCAAATGTATGAAAACAAGAAGAGCATAGTCTAACTCTAAAATGTTGCTTGTGTCATTTCCTGCTGCTACTGATAACATCTAGCAGGAGACACCTTATGTTTCCGTGACCCATAGTACAAACTGTTTTTACCAAGTGATAAAGTGATACAAATGAACATATTTAGCAAGCATTCAAGTAAAAATAAGAAAATCATTCAGAACCCTGTATGTAAATGTGGAGGTTAAGAAATGCCCTATAATCACAAGTGTACGTATTCAGTACTGACTAGAGTAATGCTTAATAAATCCTTATACTTTCTGTATTATAAAGATGTATTTATCAGTCAGATAAGGCTAAAAGTTTGAACAAATTGTTCACACACTTGAAGTACCATGCATTTGTAGACTAAAAGCCAGTATTCATAAATTGTTAAATATAGCAGTGTATGTTGCCATTGCATACAAATAAATCTACAAAAACTTGGTAGAAAGTATTGAGGACGGATTGAATGATTTACAATGTAAAAGCACATGTTACACTTCTTATAATGTAAATTGCAACATCACTTAATCAGAACAACAACAGTCCAATGGATTTGATTCTACCTTTTGAAAAATAATGATAATTTAATCAGCACTTTCTGCTGATTTTTCTAAATAAAAGCCTGCCAAGAGCAGAAGCATTTATACCAAGTAAGCTTCCAGGTCAATTGGTTAATTACATTTCAATTTAATGATGATCTATTGATATTTATTTGATTTATTATGGGTATTTGTTCATTATTCATTAACTTTTCATTTAATTCCAGCATATTGTCTTGACTTGTGAATAAATGTCAGTATTTGTGGTAAAATAAAACCTGCTTGCTATCCATCTCGACAAGGGTAGCTAAAAAAATTCAGTTTCTAGATTATGTTTTAATTTGAGACATTTGTGCAAAAGAATCGACTGTAGTTTAACCTTGACAAAAAAAAAAACTATCCAAGTGGAAGTTACGTAATTAGGCATCGACTTGAGGTGAAAGGAAACTGTATTACCAGCGGAAGTTTGGTGAGTATAAAGGACTCTTTTGTTGTACTGACGAGAGTGATTCTTTGTAATGAAAATGATTAACAATTAAGAGGTATAAGAAACAGCATCAAAAGGAATTTTAAACTATAGCACACGAAAAACAACAAATAAAAGGTCTGTCTATAGGCCTCATTCAAAAAAGTTAGAAAAATGAGTAGGGCAACTATAAGAACATTTACGGTACACTTTCAGACCGTTCTGGGCAGTTTAGCAGGATTCCTATTCTACTTCGGATCCTCTGCTTTCAGACACAAGGCTGTAAGAGCATTTGGCTTCAACAAAATCTCGGTGGTGCTGATGGAGGTGCGAGCGGTGCTGCGGCGTCGGGCCAGTTCTGCCAGATCCTCAGCCAGAACAGTCTCCATCACTGCGCTCAGAGAGTGTCTAATCTTCTTGCATAGGTCAGGGCAGCTGAACACATACAGGATCGGGTTGAGGACACTGTTAAGGAAGCCGATGGTTGCTGAAATTGGGAGGGCCTTGCCTGCGAATATCTGCGCAGGATGCCCAGTGGGTGCCATCACCTCTACGATGATGAAGATGTGGTACGGAGCCCAGCAGAGGACGAAGCTAACCACCACGGCAATGACCAGCCGAACAAAACGGAAAGGACGTCGGGAGCCTCTGCGCACCAAGCCGATGTTGACGGCAGTATAGCTCAGGATGATGATCAGTAAAGGGATCAGGAAGGACAGAAAGAGCCTCATAAAGGCCAAGGCCTCCTTGCGCTGATTACACAAATGTACAAGATCAAAAGGTTCAGCAGGTAGGAGTCGAGCGAAATTGTAGTAACACAGGACCTTGCCGTTAGGGAGGGCATAGGTGTCACGGAATATGTAGAAGGGAATCGTGAAGAGCACAGCCAAGGCCCAAATCACCCCACAGACCTTCCCCACGAGCTGGACGTTCCTGTAGTTCTGCGCCCAGACCGGTCTCAGCACAACCAGGCAGCGGTCCATAGAAATGGCCGCCAGCAGGAAGCCACTGACAAACATGTTGAGGAAGAACACGGCGGAATGGATGCGGCAGAAGGTCGTGCCCAATGTCCAGGTGTTTCCGCGGGCCATGTAGAGGGTGAAGAAGGGTAGACAGGCGGTGGCCAGCAGGTCGGAGGCTGCCAGGTTCAGGATCCAGATGCTGATGACAGAGCGGCGGACCTGGAAGCCCACTACTGCGAGGATGAGGACGTTCTCTATGATGCCGATGGAAGAGAACAAGCCATGGAGTGAAATGGTGAACATGTTCAAAGAGGTCATTGAGGACGTTTGGTTTGATAGGGTAAGAAGGCTGAGGTTTGCATCCTGGCTGACATGACAGTGCATCTTGAAGGAAAATGTCTTGGTCTTTTGATGAGCTGATGTCCTTTAGCTTGGGCTTTTGACTTCACACTGGTGATCTAAAACAGAGAGAGACATTATGAGACTCAGAGGTTATAGGGAAGTTTGAGCTCTTGGAGACTTAGTTCAAGGTAGTTCTATAAGAATACATTATCAGTTTCATTGAGTTGCGAAATCAGTTGAAGTTGTTCCTGACAAGAGAAGTATGCATTCTCCAACCCAGCAGTTCTTCATGCTTCAACACATTTACATATGCTTCTCTAACACAAGCAGAAGTGAGAGGAACTTGAATGTGTGAAGTTTTGCAGCTGGCTGTTGCATGCAAATGAGGTTTCATTTGAATCGGTTGTGAAACCTATAAAATGAATCCTGTATTTAATCAAAGGTTAATCAACAATCCATTAAGGCTTTATTGATCAGTAATAAGAGTTTAATTAGAAAGGAATTTTTGTTGTTACTTTAAAATCAAAGCTGAGCTTATAGCATTATTACTTGGCTATAGTGCATTAATACATTATTAATTAAATATATATTTATGTTAAATTAATATAACCAAACAAACAGCAAAACAAAATTAAAATATAAAATAAACATGTGCACAAGACAAGTTTTCTTGTAAAACTATAAATTCACTTTTTATGTGTGAATCTTAAGTTGAAGAGATACCTTTTGTTTCCTGTTAAAACCCAGTTGTGTTTGCAGTCTGTGTTGCATCTGTATTTCTTTGCATTCTTATCTTTTCCATTGCCCACATCTAGGGATGGGTATCATCTGAAATTGATCGATTCCGATTCCGATTCTGCTTATCGATTCCGGTTCATATCGATTCCCCGTTTCGATTCCAAAATTGTAAAAGAAAGAGTTCAAATGTTTAGATAACAAAAATATCTTTATTCTTTTAAGCTTTAACTGACATTTTTACAAATAAAAAAAATACATGCAATACAAAAGTAATAGCTGTGCTTTATTTTAACTGAGGTAGCAGCAGGAAACCTACTGACGTAAGTGATATAAGTCCTGTTCGAGAAAAGAAAAAGTGAGTCCGAGCAACAATAGGGGCCAAATGCTTGAACTGAAGTGCATTCAGTGCACAACACCTGGCTATTTTAAAGATGCATCTCAACAGTTCTTGTTAAGAAAAATCAGCATATCAGCCTTTTCTGGTAGTATGCCTAAGTTTTATAACAGTAACTGGTTTTTACAGTACAAGTACCCTACTATTGGCACACTTTTTTTTAACCTTGCATACCTAAATGACGGAGCTTCGACAACCGATAAGGGATGTAGCCCTTTGACAACAAATGCTGTTACCGCTCTGTGACACTCCTCCGTTTTTTCTTTGGTCAGCTTTCCTTTTAATGCCAAAGAGAACGGTGTGTCGCGGCTAGCTGTACCTGGCACTTCTGGACATGCAGGCGGCGGGGTACTAGTGCTGGCTATTGATGCCATACTTGGGCTCGGAGACCACAAGCCATCAAAGACTGTACATTCTTTTATCTCGATGCCATGCTGTCTTAAATGTTTGCTTAAAGGTCCCATGTCATGGCCATTTCTACTGATCATAATTCCATTGTTGAGGTATAATAAAATAGATTTATATTGTGCAATTTTCCAAAATCACATTGTTTTCTCATATAGCATCTCTGTATAGTATGTGTATTCACTCTCTGTCCTAAACGGCTTGTTGGAGCTCCTGCCCCCCCCTCCCTATGAGCCCAGTGAGACACAGCGAAACCCAGCCTGAACACACACACACACCCGCAGCCTGGCTGGGAGTTTGTGTGTGTGCTCACACACCGACTCACAGCCTCGCCGCGTCCCGCCGTCTCAGGGAGGAGAAATCAGCGAAGCTGCAGCTGAGAAAAGATTGAGTGTGTGTGTTTGAGGAAGTCCGCAGATTTATCCATTTGGACCAATCCACGGACTTAACGTAACGGTTCCGCGGACGTAACGGTTCCGCGGACGTAACATAACGGCTCCACGGATTGGTCCATTTGGGTATGGGCACGTCACTGTACCCAGGAAGAAAACAATGGAAAAATTAAAATCTCCAACGAGGCGTTCTGGGGCAGCATGGACAGGTCTTTTCTGTGTTAGAGTTTTACTCGCTACAGGGTGTACTTTGAGGGTTTGTGACTTTTCAGACCGTTTACATGCATAAAAACCTTCATAACACACAAGGGGACGAGTAATAACCGGAAAAGCATGACATGGGACCTTTAAATTAGAAGTGCAACCTGACGTACAAGCTATTAACTTGCCAAAGGCATTGCACTTCTTTTTTAGTGTAGTGGAGCCACACTTTAGAGCGTTTACCGCGATCCATCTTTGGTGTTATGAAGTGACTGAGCCGTGCATGCTGGTATCTAAACAAATAAAATCACACGCTGCTGTTCCGTTGATGCGTGACGTCGTCACGTTACTACAGGTCCTTACAGATAGCTACGTAGCCTTATGGCGCGTTTCCACTTCACGGCCTCGCTCGGCCCCGCTCGGTATGGCTGGGCCTCGTTAGGACTGGCTCACTTTATGGCGCATTTCCATTACAGTTTAGGAACTGGGGCAGTATCTATAGTAACGCAGTGTACTGTAGGCGGAGCCGTGACGTGATCTTCAGAGGACCCCAGAAAAACAACAGAGCCGTTAGCTGTTAGCACTCAGAGCTCACAGCTCCTCATATATGTTCAGAAACTAGACAAAAGTTAAACAAGTACAAACCACAGACTGCCTGTGTCATGGTGAATACAGTCGCTGCTTTATTTATGTCTGTATAGGCCGTTGTTGTGAGTGTGGACGGTCGGAGCATATACTGCGTTAGCTTAGCCAATCTCCATTTAGAAAACAAGCATTTTAAAAGGTTTTTCCCCTGCCGTCTGTCTGCAGACTTGACAAAGCATTAATTCATGGTTTTTACTAACCGGTATCAGTATGTTGTTACTTCGGCATCATTTTGAAACGTGTATTACAATTAAATCACGGTCAAATATGTCCATCTTGTTGTAGTTGTTGCCCCCTTGCCAGCGACGCTCTCTCTAGTTTAGCATACTCAGCCCGACTCAGCCTCGTTGTCTCTGGCCCTGGACCCACGATTTTATGAGGCCAGAAAAACTGTGAATTAGGACCCGCCGGCCGGTACTAGGCCAAGTGGAAACGCAACCAAAGACGGGCCGCTGACGTCACAGCCCTCTTAAACCGGGCTGCGGGCTGTAGTGGAAACGCGCCATTAGCCTACGTCCATGCAGATATGTAGGCTTTCTTTGCAATACTAAAGGGTTAGTTTACCGCGTTTAGGAACCGTTAATCAGAACCGTTAATCAGAACATAATACGAAAATAATGTACTTTTTATGGGTACCCGGTACCCAGCATTTTCTTATCGGTTCTCATCTGGAACCGAATTTCGGTTCCCAACCCTACCCACATCCCCCCCCAGATCCTGTTAAATGTACCTGTTAGTCTTTGTAATCGGATCATACAACCCAACATGCAAAGATTTATGAAATATAAAGCAATACACTCAAACATCATTTCTGATATACTCTTCTTTTAGGTTACTAAGCATGGTCTATATGGAATATCCTGTTAAACACAGCCTTCACATTGGAAAAAAAGTGTAATGGTGAAAACACATTACACTAACTGCCTGGCCCTTAGTGGTTTCTGCTACTGACTCAAACTCTGCAAATGCGAAAAAAAACAAGCATTGCAAAGAGAATTAAAAGCTTGTCATTATATATATATTTTTTTTAATTGTCCTTTGTCTATAAGAAAGAATAATCAAGCTTTTGCAATGTTCATCCATTTGACACATCACTCTTTCGAGACACTAAGGCTTCTCCCTTTCCCCTTGTGTTGAGATTTTCCTGCAATAAATAAATAAATTCTTACCTATTCCTATGTCTCTGGCAGGTCCGATGAGATCTCTTTCATGTTGTGTTACTACATGACACAACACCCAGCACTGGCCTCATGGGCGTACATGTACAGTAATAGGAAGTCACAAACCTCAAAAGGAACCTAAAGTTCTTAGAAGATGAAGTTGAGCTAAGTGTGAAACCAACTTAATTTGACTCAACCTCTAAGAGTTTGTTATAAATAAAGCCCTGTGGTCTCTAAGAAAACTGATGAAGAAAATTATTAATTCATAGTTTTATTTGGTTTATTTGGTTTTCAGCCTCATAAAAGTGTCTCATGGCCTTTAACCTACCGCTACCAAAATCACCTAAATGACATGATGTAAGAACAACAAAGGATTCTACTGTGAACAGAACACACTGACCTGGATATGCTAAAATAACAGGAAAGCAACACAATTGTGATCATACGGCACATATTGAAGATTAAACAATTACCATCTAGTCTATAAATAGTTAGCAATTAACATAGCAAGGTATCAAAAGCGTTAGATAATACTTTTCTTTTCTATTTCTCATTATTTGGGTTCAGGAACGGCATGTAAAATATAGCTTCTATACAGCAACTGTGTAAAGACAAGTCTTAATTTAATTTTGTATAGTTGGGATGTCAACTTCAAGTGTTGGTCAAAGATGAAGAGAGAGCACAGTTTATGACAACAGATGATAATAGAAGCAGGATCTTTTCAGAGTGGTTCATTTTTCTTAAATGTGTTACCTAAATAACACATTTTTAGTTCCATCTTTCAAAGTTGTTTACAATCTTAGATTTAGGTTGTTGCAATATTACTTTAAAGTAAATTCATTTTTTTAACCTTCCCATCATCAAAAACATAATCTTCTTAGCAACGAAATATAGAGAAGTAAAAAGTAGAAGAAAACGGAAATACTCATTCGTTTAAAATGTATACGTGCATGACTTGTCTAAATGTTACTGTCAACCACTGAGGTAAACACACTCACTTTTAAAAGTATCAATCTATTCTAAATAAATCTTGCTATGACGAAGAGTTGACACTTCTGTGAAATTCTAATTAAAGCAGACCGTTTGAAATAAAAATCTGGTCTTGATATTCTCTGTGTGTATAATGAACCTGGATTTTATTTTTGCAAGATATAAGTAATTATAAGATTAACTATATTAGGAGTTGTCTACTACAGTGCTCTTACACACAGTGTTAACATAATGCTCAATACCCAAAGGCAAGCAAAGCAGAAGTTACCAAACATAAGAGCGAGAGAAGCTGTCGCATGATGAAACGCGAGAAAACATGTGCCAATCATTCCTTTACAACGGTACCAACAAATACACCCATCAGGCTTCATTGTGTTGCATTTGAGGTTTACACTGACATCTGCTGACCCACTGGGGTATTGATACAGTTCTCCTTTTTCTAGGCTTCCTCATTGATAAAAGCATCAAAGCTATTACCTATGTGCATTTTCACATCCTCTTGCTCTCTCCTATTCCGTTTCTTTTTTTCTTGTCTCATTTTCTTTCTAAATACGTGATACAGACTTGTTTATATGGTGATTGTGCAAGTTACAAAGCCACATGCACTTCTGCTTTTTGTCCCACTGATGTTTGTTGTTATGTGTCTGTGTGTGTGAGATAAAGGAAAGAGACTTGACATACTACTTAGTCATTGATAGTACAAACAAAAACATCTCTCTGGTGTTTTTGTAATGTGGAAACTTGCAATTTATTAATTCAGTTGATTCCACATGCCACCAAGGGCTTGGCCTTGGCTATAAAGAGCAAAATTATAGAGGGGAAAAATCACATTCCTTAGCAAATTTGGAAAACTAGCAGTGGCGACTGGCAGGCTTGGATTTTCGTCATTTTAGGGGCAAGGCCATTTGGCCTTTGGTGTCACACATTTTTT